CAGATGTTGAATTTTGTTTTATTCCACTGGAATCTTCATTGATTCATATCAACAAGGTCTCTAGAAACTGAAGAATTTCTTCATTATTAACATGTATTACAGTCTACACAGCATAACTGTGGACTGAGAGAAGGTTAGGGCAAAACCATCAACTAATCCTCACATTAATCAAACCCAAAGATGTTCACTGTTGATTATGACATGCATCTGAACCCTATCTTCAGATGGGCATGGAATAGTTATTCAGCATATGTAAGTCTTACCAGTCTTATGGGGACTGGTTTTGTTTTGCAATGATTTTATTCAGGTTTCAAATTCATACCCCTCCTGCAGAAGTTACTGAATGCTTAAAGTTGGAAGAATATGTATTGGAAAAAATCTTCCAAATTGAGGTGTTATATTCCCAAGTAAAATCTAGTACAGTCACTTACAGCATGAGACAAGATCTGCCAGATGGACCACCGATCCAACACAGCTGGTTCTAACATTCTTGTCACCACCTTGCTATCAATATCATCCTAATTACACACACTAAAAAGAAAAATATCTTCATAGAATTCCTTAATCAAGAACCTTACTGATACAGCCTCCTGCTGGAAACATTCTTTTCCTTGCCATGAGCAAGTTTAAGTGCATAACGCCATGATTTGTTAGGTGGAAGAAGCTGTATGACAAAACACTTCAGGGATGCAATGCTTTTTGCCAAGCAGCTGAAACTGTTTTTTTGATAAATGCTCATGTCTCATAGTATTAACACTGTCACACAGGTAAAGTTTGATCTGCTGACAAAATCTCTTGTGGCTGTCTCTTAATCTATTCAGTAATCAATATTAACGCTGTCAAATGTCTCAAAACATTCCTTTTAGCTTGTTTGTTTCACTATGTGCTATATACACTTACACATATTTCACTCCATACATTCGTTTTGTATGTGTATATGCATTTCATTCCAAGTAATAGTATACATTTTCTCTCGTAATTGCAACAAGCCAGAACGTAACAGAAAGATGAATGCTCAGATACCCTGGCAAAGAGCACATTATTAAAGATTTGGAAAACATGAGATGGAGCTGCTTACATAAAGCTGCAGTTAGCACTGACCTTCAGGGTCCATCAGGATCTCAGTGTAGTTCAATAATTTTGCTTGCTGTGTTAGGAATCTGGCTTTGTAACCTCAGCTCTGCCTGATATCAGCAAGGATGGACAGCTTGGTCCATCCCTCTCACGACTAAGCACATCACATCTCAGATGTTTATGCAGCCAAGTAATAAAAGTTGCAGTACTGTGATAAACGATGGATGGTTTGCCTATTCTGTCTGTCTCATAATATTAAAATAAGCTGTGATGATGCATAAGCCCAAATACTAGCCTGTGCCCTCACACCTAATCACTCCACTCCAAATTGCTAGTGAAGATGACCTTTCCAGATTAATCACACCAGACACCTTGACTCCTTCATGGTGCAGCAGATTTCAGTTTTCTCTTAAACACATATTTCCTTAAGGCCGTCAGAACTACAAAAGTTTAAAGAAAATTAGCATGTGTCTTGGCTTAACCGAGACCTGAAAGGATGAAACTGTTATTTCTTGGAGACCAAGTGAGTGTAACTTTGTGAAGTTCAAGTTTTCACAAGCAGACGCTGCATTTTAATAATTTATCCTCACAGAGGAGCAGATTGTACCTTGAAGTAGAGCCTGAAAGGTTCTACCCTGTAGGGAATGCAGCTACAACAAAAGAAAACTGAAAGCCATTTGGCTGCTTGTGACCAACTCAGAGTTGGAATTGGCCAAATTCCACACACGAGCACAGAGACACATACACACAGAGTCTGCAACCAGCTCACAGTGCCAAATTGCAACCATATTTATAATCCTTTCAAAACACTTGGGTCCATTTTTGTGGGAACAACAAACATAAAAATAATGAAAAAACAATATTTCTTTTAGAAAACGAAGTGTCTTCTCTCCCACGCACCCAGTAAAAGAAGTCATGTTGCATTTCCTGCTATTGAGTTGAACAATACCAGCCATTAACATTTACAGTTTCTTGTAAAGATTTCTTTTGAATTACTATTAAAAACAAACAAACAACAACAACCACTAGAACCCTTAAAGTTTTGCTATACATCATCTTTTCTGATTAAATCCAAGAAAATTACTCATACCTGACTGTGTGAGCAAACACTCCTCCTAATTTAAATCATACCTGTTCTTGCAAAGCTATTGTTTCAACAACAGGAAAGTGGTTACTCTTTAATATGCATGCAAATTGCATTTAGTAGTGGCACAGAATGAGCTTTGTACCCATGCCATGTGGGTATTAAATATGAAATGACAACAAAGAATCTCTCTTGACTCTCAAAACTACTGTTAAGAATAAATTCATTTTTGTTGATACTAACATCCTTAAGAAACAACATTTTCATATGTGCTTGTACGTTTTCAACAAATAAAAATCATTTACATTTGCATATAACTGGGTTTGAGGGCAGACCATTAACTGCTGACATCAGTCAACAATATTTAAATTTTACATGACATTAGTCTTTCCTTTGCTGTTGCGCTCTGCAGAAGCTTAAAATGTTTGAAACTCTGCTTGATGAGACTGCCACCACTCTGCAATTCTGGGGGACCAGCTTCTTCCACTGCTCTAAGTCAGCCTGCAATAACCAATTTCATTCTCAGAGGATAAGATCCACACGATCCAGTAATATTTCTAACAGCGTCAGAATCTCAGACTGAAAGTTATTTTCATATCTGAAGCATCAAATGTCTATTGAAGGGAAAGTATCGCTTTAGAAAATGAAAGAGGAGATTTTTTCCACTGAAAAGTAGGGCAAAAGAGGAGAAGGAAGGGAGAGAAAGGGAGAAGGGTTGTTCCCTGAAAATGGGCAAATGTGGACTGCATGATGCCACTTACAATTCTGAAACATGAAACAGAGCTGCAGTAAAACGACATTAGCAGCTTTCATATGATAATTCTTATAGAAGAGAAGGTTGTTTCTGGGTGGAGCTCTAGCCAAGACCAAGTTCACTGAACCTAGCAGGCTATTCAATCAATCACAGGAAAAACAATGAGTGTGCAAGCTAGGGGAGACTTTTATTTTGACTGTGGCAGATGTGAAGGCAGGGGGTGAATGTAGGGAGGGGAAAGTACGCAAAAGTGAGGATTGGAGAGAGCTAAATACTTGAAATGTCTCCGAATGCACATATATTATTTATAACAATGAAATAATTATTCCTGCAGTGACATACAGGCTGGCAAACCAAACAAATGCAGATTTATATGGTATATATAACACATCAAATAATGAAAAAAAAGTTAGTGGCATTCTGCCAAGTCTCCCCCAGTCTCCCCACCCCCCTTTCCCAGTCATTGACTTTCAAAGAGGAAAAGATTTCAAACAACAAATTCTATGCTGACTTCCAGGAGATGCAATGAGAAGCGATTTACACTTAGTTGTATCTTCTAAATTGTCCTAAATCAATTCAAGTTTCACATAGTTACTTGCAAGAACTTTGTAGCTTGCTGGGACAGACATACAAGTTGAGATTTTCTTGCCTATGTCTTTTATCTAGGATTTTTCATCTCCTTTATTTGCTGCCTTTTGGCATCATTTATTCTTATTTTAAAATAAAAGCTACAAAGGCTGTTCTATTTTAATGGAAATTACTCAGCAGTAAGAATTTCAATTCACTTCCAGAAGAATAATCTTTGTGCTCGTCAATTCACCCAAGATCATTTGCTGGCTTTCACAAAGCAATTTACTAATTAATGACAAATTAAATAATGTTCTATATGAGGAAGACTTCAGAGGTGGTACATAAAATTTGGGATTCCTGGAATATCTTCAGACTGGCTACAGTTCATTTGCATGAAAATATGACTTAAAAACCCCATTGAGCTTTCTGTGCTGCCCAGCTCAAAATAAACCCTACTGATGCATGGGTCTATTTCCTTTAATCATATGCATACATTCGCATTTGATTCAACACTCCTGGTGTACCTTAAATGCGTTTGTATTTCAAAACCACAGAGCTATCATATCAACACTTTGCTGCACTCTTTGGGAAAAATCATTCAGGCTGCTCTGAGAAATGTAAGTTACGCTATCAAAATGCATCGCTTTACAGCACGGCTTCATTTTGAAGGAGTGTGGGAATCATTCACAGTGCTGCACTCCTCAGGGTTTCTCACCAGGGGCATCATTCCAGAGTTAGGTATTTTCAAGTACTCACAATTGGAATAAATTTCCCCTCACCGGAGAAAAACAAAAAAAAAAAAAACATGGCTTGCATTTGACTGTAATGAGACCTCACTGTGATATAATGCTTACAGAAGTACCCTTAAATTCCCATCCTGAGCTGTCCACAAGACCCACAAGGTCATTTCAGGATGCCTCAGCCTTTTCTCCAGCAACATCAACCTCTCTTGGGCCCAGCTACACCAGCAGTGCCCCAGGTTTCCATAGGGTGAGAGCCCAAAGCAGTTTAAGGAGCTGCAAAGCTTCCACACCATGCAATCAATCCTATGCCAAAAATTCAGGCATCACCTAGCAGACACTGGATGTGTGCCTGATGTATGTGTAGTAGTTTCTGACTTTGTAACCGGATGCACACTGCATTCCCAGAGTGAGAACACTGGAATATCCATAAAAAGGTTTAAGAATGATTATGTTTTGATATCTAATGCTAGAAGGGACTGTGAGGCTGCAGGGTAGCAGAGAAGAGCAGTGCACAGAAGGAAGAAGCATGGGTGAAATCCCTGCAGATGTACCTACCGTGGACTGACTACTCTGCCTAAAGCAGTTTTGGTTGTGGTTGCATCTCAGCTGCTTTATATTGCTAAAGTTTTCTACACAGCAAATATCAGGTTTTAAACAATCCACAAGAGCCCACATTTTCTCTAGTGGCAGATTGTGCAGGATGTTGCGATAATCTCCCCAGAATTGAGAAAGTGTATGATAAGGAAGGAAAGATTCAGTTTTTAAAGAAACTGAATGTTTGGTCACAAGTTGGCGTTCTGCAAAGCTGTGTACAGTTACTCTGACAAGTTCTTAAAAGTAGAGTTCGCTAATAAAAGAACTTTATTGATTGTCATGCCACATCAGGTCAGAAATTCATTTAGTATTTTATTGCATTTCTAGCACCAGATGTTTCAGAGGAAGGTGTGAAACTCCCATAACAGAATTATGTAATAACTTGCTTATGAGAGAATCTTCTTCCTATGCCCAATGCTTAACGGTTATAGCATTATTGCTCTTCTTCCTGTATACTATCATCCTAGTTAAAGTTGCTGCAGCTGTCCTTTGCACACATAACAAGCAATTCTAAGTCTTTGACACATTATTGAAATGTTATCCATGGACAGTGAGTTCCATAAGTTAACATGCAAACAATATTCCAGTGGGTTTCTGCCTCTTCTTAAAAACTTCCTTTGATAAAAACTGTGACCAAAAAAGTACCTACCCTGTGCAAATCCATACTATTTTCACAGTATGTAAAAAAGAACAGGCATACGTAAGCCCATGAATTAGAAGCTAGGTTAAAAAACACTTCTGCAACTGCTCTTGAATATCTACAGTGCTTTCATATACTTTCCTGACAGAAGCTCCCTTTCAAGAAAGCTAATGAAACCGAACCCAAAGCAGATGGGAATACAATCAAGACAAATTTGTTTTCCAATTTCAGTCAGTTGTTGTGGATTTTTTCTTCACTCTTCTACTTTCAGATTCCTCATCTGTTTTATGGTTGCTACTACTCACTCTCCCCATAGTGAAAGATCAATACATTCATACTTTTTTAAAGTATTTTCAGATCTCTGAATGAAAGGGGCAACTACATCAAATTCATTTTGTGTTTATAAAAAAGAAAATTTACTTTAAAAGTTAATTCAGTGAAGGCTTCAAAATTCAGATCAATACAGATCTGAGAACTGAATATAGTGAATCTGAATGCAGCGTTATGTATGTGTTATTCAGTCTGGCTCTGACCCAATAAAGCACTTAACCATGTGCCTGGTTTTACATGCTGTAAGTAGCCCCATTGATCTCCAAGGCACTGCTCAGAGCTAAGTGCTCCACTGGATTGGGACCTTTTTGCTGTGGGGCAGAAAGGGAAGTGCCCCAACCAGTAAGATACCCAGGAATCCAATTACATTTCTTTCCCAATAGATCTACCTATAGCCCTTTTTATCACCCCGACCACATTTTCTTTAGTCCACAAGCAATGCTGTTTATCTTACTAGCTTCCAGAAGGGCAGGTGTTATGCAAGCACTCATTTTAGCAGATTTAACATCCTTAAAATTTTTCAAATCCTTAAAAGTTTTCAAATGTAGGCCATGAGTATTTCAGAAATAAGAGCTAAAACACCTCTCCCTAAAGTAAATGAAAGGCAATGGTATTCAGCTCACATTGAGAAATTTTTTCAAGTCTAGGTAGGCACAATGAAAGACTTTGCACTACAAAGCTTCTCAGTCAGTGCTTCTGAAATAACACCTTTGGCTCTTTCTTCCTACATGTTAAGAACAAACAAGCTCTCATGTTTCATCAAGGAGTTGATAAAGGTATTTCTTTCCCTTTTGAAAGATGAGTATAGAATAAATTAAGAGCTGGCCTTACTGGCAAACACTTTTCAGTTTCAGACTCATTCGGGTTCACCTCCTGGTTCTCTTAGCTCACAGAAATATAGGAGATTGTGCTCTTATGCTTGAATACATCAAGTGCCACCTTGAAATACAGGGACTTTGATCTCCCTGATGGTAGTAGCTTGTAATTATTACGTTGCTTCCATATTGTAAAAGGCCATGGGAGAGTATATTAGTATTTTAGCAGGGTCTGGGAACTTAAGAAGGAAGTTTCCTAATCCTACTCATTTACTACACCTCAGAGCAAACTCAGAGGGGCACAAACATACTGATTTTTCAACAAAGCTGATGTGGAAGATGCACTCTACAGGTCAACTCATGCACTCCAAGCATTAATGGGCTTCTGCCCAAGGGATAAGAGTACATCCAAAATGCTCACAGTGTGAAGCTTTCATCCTCAGCACCAACATCATCTCCTTTTCCACTGAGTTACTCAGTAGTGTAGATAACAGCAGAAAGCCATAACTTACAAATTAAGGTAATCGCCATTCCACTCCAGTTTCAATTCTCTGCTGGACAGTAAAGTCTGATCTCATTTCTGAATGATGAGAAACTCCTCAGTGAACCATATTTCTGATGCAGAAGAGTACAGGTGTGGAGATGCTTTAGGGAGGTTGCAGCAAAAGATGGATCCCTCTCAGTGTACCAGCAGCAGGCTGGTCTCATCTCTCCCAGACAGCAGAAGTGACACTGAAGAGAACACTCCATTTGTGTGGTGGTTGGTTTTTTGTTCGTTTGTTTTATATGTTAGTTGAAGTGAAGGTAAAGATCAGGAATCTTCATTCTTCTTACATGCAGGTCTGAGAAAAGACCTTAGATTTTCAAACCAGTGTCATTCTGTTCTCTTCACCTGAGCTCTGGTTCCTTGCAGTAGGAAAACTTCTTTTCACACACATAAATGGGCATCAAGTTTGGTCCTCTGTGACTATGTTTTTCTGGACTTGGTGATACAAAACACACAAACATCGTGACACAAAGCTCATAAAGGTGACCCTGGCACACATGTTCTGACAGAACATCCATTTGACTCCTGTGGGATTTCTGATCAGATCAGAAACCTGCCAGTCTGGGGTCCACGTTCAACTCAACATAGTCATGGGGGTAGGCAGCATGGTGTGAGCCTGTCCTTCTTCTTGCATGCACACAGTACAAGTCACTTCACTTTGCAGGTGTCACCTTCTCATTTCCCTCCCGAGGAACCTGCACACATGCCACCTGCAGTGTGGATTTCTAAGAAAACTCACCTACATATTATTAAAATTCATTTCACTTGTATGGATCTGTTTGCAGTACAGAAACATGTAAATATTTTTTAAGGGCTGATATAAGAAATTATCTTACCACCTTAGAAGATCCCATGCTGTGCCTTGTGGAACAACATACCACCAGTTTGGCTTCTACATGGTTTCGGAAGAGCCTTAGAAACTCTGAAAAACAAAGCACAGTTACCAAAGCATTTTGTTTTATTCAGTATTATTTTAATCTCTATTCACTTGTAAGTTTAATACAAAGCTCCAGCACTTAAAGTACATCCATCAATAGTTCTTCCCTGCCTCATTCTCAATTTTATCATTATGTTCACAATTAAGTCAAAACAAAGATTCTTATCCTCTGCACACAAAGTGTAAAAATATTTACTTTACACTGTGAAAGAACTCTGTTCAAATCCAAGAAATTAACCTGGGGGTATTTACAGTATAAATGTCTTTTACAATGATCCCCTTGTGTTAGAACAAACCTAGTCAGTCTAGAATCAGTCTAGCTGTGGATTCCTCTCACTCTCAAGTGAGGCTCAGTAAAAAAGAAAAGATGAAAGCAAGGAAGAGGTTTTATAGTACCTCTCACAGTTCTTTTTTCTCTGGCTAGAATATGATTAAAGATATCTCACAGACTGTGAATAGGCAACATTTCCTAGCAGATATTTCAAATTCTGCCGTTGAGGATAATAAAAAATACTAATAAAAAAAATCTTCATTCTTACACAGCATTTTTTATCCACAGATTTCAAAGCCATTTCTTATCCCACTACTGGGCCAAGTGCCCAGGGAGGGCTGGAGGTCTCACACTATCAGAGGAGGAGCCAGGTGGGAACCTCCTCACCTTCACATGCCAGGGCAGTCACAGCTGGACTGAGTAAAGCCTGGCAATGCCACCCTGAGCAGGGAGCACAACAGAGCATCACAGCATTGAAGGAAACAGCCTCTTATCTCAGAGCCGCTCCCTGGACCACTATTCTCACTCCATTACAGTGACAGCAATGACTAGCTGAGTCTCCAAGACAGAAATCTTTTCTTCATCATATTATATTGCAATTCCTTTTTCATCTGTCTTCTTCACTTCTAAATCAATTCTCACTCAATGTATTTTTTTCTTTGTTTCATTAACTGATGGTTTTTAAGGACTCTGTGTTGCATAGTTAATAATTTTTCTGTAGCTCAACTTTTTTTTTTCATCAGTTCACATTTCCAAACCAATTAATTCCTTGTTGTTTTCCAATGGTTATTAAAAGGTAGAAAAATCCAGTTTAACCCAGTCTAGCATCTGAGGGATGCATCTATATGTTAATTACTTTTCCAGTTTGCTAGCAGAAAACTCTACATGATAGAAAGGACTATTTTCTACAATTATCAAGGGCCAGATTTTTAGATGTAGTTAGGTACTTAAAGGTGTATAAGTGCCCAGCAGGATTTAAGAAGTGCCTAGAGATCTAAATCCTACTGAAATCAGTGTGATCATATTATCATATCATATATATGTATATCATATATACATATAAGGTACCTCAGGTACCTTAATACCTTTAAGAGACCAGCTCTACAAGATGCAAAAAATGTGTTAAGAAATGACTAACACATTTAGTAATACAATGAGGAAGTTAAATGTTTAAAAGAGTAAGTTTTTTTTCAGTTAAAAATATTTTAGGTTTATCAGTAGAATTCATTTGCTATTCAGTTAATGATGCATTCAAGCAAGAGACTTCAGCTAACCAAAAAACCTGAAAATATTTCATTATTGCCATTGCCAAAAGAAACATTTTACTTTTTTCCTCCTTTTCTTAAAAAACACATTAATTCTTAAGAAGAATAACCCGTGAGTTAGATAAAGTGATATTGTTTTCTGCTATTACCAGGAAAACTACAGAAATGCATTTTCAATTGAAAACTTTTGTTGTTGTATATATAGTTACCAGCATTTTTCCATCTGTGGTCTTAAGTGGTTTTGATACCTCAATTGCATTGAGTTCTTCCTGTGCAAGATGCTCCAAGGCTAAAGTCATGGCCAGGCTTCCTACCTGTTCATGTGGCTTAATTGAAAAGGCACCCTCAGCACTTGCTCTAGCAGATTTTATCTGTCCCATCCACTTCTGCTGAAATATCACCTGAGCAGCCTCAGACAGATGAAAACAGCTTGAGTTCCTTCTCAGAAAGGTACTAATAGCTCAGGGAAAGAGTGGTTTGCTGGGGGCTTGAATTCCAGCAGGCTCAGGTAAATTCAGCATTTTGTACAGAAAGCATTGGAGCTTAGGAGAGTACAGAAATACAGGTTACTCCAGACACTAACCATGTTTTTACAAATACTAGAGTTTGAAGATTGATTTTTCTAGCAGTTTAGAGGAGGTTATACTGTATTACCTCACTCTTTAATGCCATTTAAAGTGGGACTATGGGTAGAACTGGAACAAGTCTCCATGTGGATTGTCAGAAATTACATGTAGCCCAGAGTCCATAATCCCCAAATGTGTAGGTGTTACATTAAGACAGATACCCAAATACCTGTTGAATCTGGGTCTTCAGAAAGAGTTTGTCCAATCTTAAAAATTGTGAGAAGTACCAATTTGCTAGAGGTGGGGTCATCTCTCAAATTCATTTTTTCTGGGTCATCCAAACATGACCTCCTGCCTTCTACTATATGAAGAATTTTAAAATAATTTTACCCTTGTGATAAGCATCACATCAAGAATACCAAGCTAGTAAAATAATGCTTAAGGCCTCACTATGTTTTGTTTATTTCTAGGACACAATGGCCCTGCATCTCTCAATGCTATCATCTCAGATCCTTAGCAGCACAGCAAAAACACAGGAAAAAAAATGTTGCAGTAAAGTGGCTCACTGCTTGTTTATCCAATTTGTACCTTAGTCCACAACTTGCATTTATTTCCTCCCTAAAAATATTGCAAACTTGCCTAAGGACAAGATGTTTCAAGGTCTGGTAATGGGATTTTTAGCCTTTCACACACAGCTCATTTATCTGAACTCGGGTAGGTCTCCAGGTCAGTGAGTTGTTACCCACTGACTTGTCCAGTGGCCTCTGAAAAATGAATGAGCAACTTTCACACAGCAGACAGTTCTCTACCAAAAGGGGATAGTAACAGAAGGAAAGGCATAAGTACACATGGCTAGAGCCAAAATTTCTTTATGAGCACAAAAGAAGTAAAAAGAAGAAAGTTCCCTTGATGTTCCCAAGTGATGCTAGTAGTGACATTTGAAGACACCAGTGCCAACCAGCCCATTGTTTCTGGAGAGTTATATTTTACTGACTGTGCACTGAATCAGATTTCTGCTGGCCTTGCTCAGTACAGTCAGCAATAGATTTGGGATAAAATAGGAATTCCCATCCTTTAAAGAAAATTCCAACCTTGTTAAATAGAAATTTTGAAAGGTTAGTAAAATTCAACATTGTATCTAAGAAATATTTTTTATAATATTGAACACTAAAAAATAATGATAATAAAAAACTATAAGCTATATATATAAACACACTCACAGAACTAGCTGAATATTGTCTTAAATTGAGGATATAAAAAAGTAAGCAATAAAGCCATAATGACATAGACAAAGAAAGCTTAGTAAAGATATGTCTTTTTGCTTAAGTTTCCTTCTCCCTCTCATTAAAAACATTCTGAGCAGCTCTACCAGGTACAGACCTTAAAAATGAAATTTTGAAAGATTTTAAATAAGTCAAAACTGCAGGAGCTGAACTAGCTCACATTCTTAGCTGCAAGCTTTACCTTTTGTTTTCCTCCATTTCCCAGCTTCCCACATGGCAAAAATATCTTCATAGTCCAGCCCAATCTACTCTTCCAAAAGAAATCAATTTTTTATTATTTATGTTATTTTATTAGGTCAAGGATTGAGCCACACTTTAATAAACAAATGCATCTGTCACACTTAAACCACAGCTGAAAGCAATCCTTCCATTTACCAGTGGGTTTCAGCAGACGACTGCAGGCATCCTTCAGCAGGCCTACCTTATTTCTGGTGCTTTGGGAGCGCACTATGGGGATCTACTAGAGACAGACACCCCAGCAAAACAATGCAGGCAGTTCTGCCCATCCCACATAGAAAGCCACTTAACTTCTTCCAAAGTTAACCTCACCAACCAACACAGGGGGTGCCTCTCTACATAAGGAAGTTCCTTCAGCAAAATGTCATGCTCTAGTACTAGCTTAGTACTACATACTTCTAGATCAAGACTATACATTTGTCAAATAATATCCCATACTGGAGTGTATTATTAAAACCATTAAGCAAATATAACTTGAGGAGGAAGACAGTGACAGAAGACTCTTAGACCATGACCCCAGCCACTGCCTTTGAATCACATTCCCTCCCTGCCAGGAGATGACCACCCTGGGCCTGCCAACGCCAAGCTGAGTGAGCCAGCACTAGAGGAACAAATGGAGAACACCTTCACACCTCAGTAACAAACACCCTTGAGAGCAGGCATGTGAGGATCCTTATGAATCCCCCCAAAATGATGACTGTAGCCAACTCAATAAAATAAAGTTTTAAAAAAACAACACCCCAAATCACACCCACTCCAGATGAAGCCAAGTACAAAATAACAGAATAAGCTCCATGAGCATCTGAAGAGCAGAAACATCCAGAGACTACTTTAAAATATTTTCTTCATCTTGATTCTCTTATTCTTGATTATTAAAAACAGCATGCAAATACATGCAAAAGACAAACTTTGAGAGCAAGATTCATAATACTAACAGATACATAGGAAAACTAACCTCACCAAAAAGGTTGCTTTTATAACACATTACTCTTCCCCCCCCTCCACCACCACTTCTCAGTTCCCACTATGCCCTAATTGTTCCACAGGTGTGAATTTGATAATCTCTAATGATCTCATTGCTTAGCATATTTAAATGATTTATTAACACCTGATAGTTGAAGTTTGATGTTTTTGTTTCAGACTTCAGAAAGTTCTTTAATGACAATGAATGTGACCATTTTCCACCACATATATGTAGGCAAGTTTATGAAAATTTATCTCTAGGCTACCATGCTTGTATCAATGCCAATAAAAGAAAAATAGCAAGTTATATGTTTGATAATTTTTCATCTGTAATTAGCATAAATCAGATGCAAGCCTGATTGATAATTGCAAGTAAAAATTGCCTGATTTGCTCTGCATGGGTATTTGTTTGTATATACACCTAAAATTCATGCCTCCTGTGAGTACAATAACTTAATAGGATTTACTGCACATCACACTGCTGTGTCTGAAGAATATTGCAGCATGCTACTTATTTGATGTATACAGAAAGTTTTCCTAGGAGACTGAATGTTGAATATTTAGTATCATGCATTATACAAGACAATATTTTATTAGATATCTACGTATTTTCTTTGGTTCACTAGAACTTGCAAAATTGCAAAGTAACTTGGCTAGAAGGGAACTCTGGATGTCATCCAGTTTAGCCCCTTACCTTTCTCTGGAAACGTTTAATGTATATAACTGCAGCATGTGTCCATAAAGATGTTGCAGACACATGGATGATGCATGATGTGAAAATCCAACCCTGTGTCATTTATAGTGTTAAATTAAATAAAGACAAGGCAATTGCTTTTGAAAAATATTCTGTAGCTGCATGAATTTTCATTCCTGAAAGCACAGACTAAAGGCAGAGATAAAATCAGGTTCTCGCTGGAAATACCTGACAGTTTAAGTTTCACAGGTTGCTCTACTTTGCATCATTGCAAATCTGTGTTTTGGAAGCTTCTGTTTATTTGTTTAGGTTTGTTTTTGTTTGTTAAACCAATTCTTGGCTAAACCAAAATAATCTCAATTTTAATTTTTAAAATACATTCAGGTTTGAAATGGTATTTTGAGCTAATCCAATAAAGTTTCCTTGCATAATAATAAGAAAAAATATCTAGCTGATATCTGGCTTGTACACAGGGCATTTCACATCTCAGAAGGTAAAGGCCTCAGACCAATGGTGTGCAGGAGTTGAGACATCTCTCCCATAAATCAGGCAATTAATTTCCTTCTAACAAGCCCTGAGTAAAGCTCTGTAAATCATTCACTGATACTGTCTGACACAGCTAGGGATTTGGTGCAGGGAATGCAAATCTGTAGCCACTGAGGACAGAATGTGTGGCTGTGTAGGGGTGGAAGGCAGCGGGCCTGCCAGCAGCTTCTGGGCTCTCTTCTGGCACCCTTCCGTGCTCTGCAATCTAGGAATAGCCCAAAGCCCACCCGATGAGCAATATATGTGTAGCATTGCATGTCTGTTAGGCCAAAACATGATTCCAGATATGCTGTGGCTGGAGGCCAGCTTCACCCTGAAAACAGCAAAAATCCCCAGCGCCCATTACTGACCACAAACTGCCAAATTCTGCAGAGCCATTAGCCTCTTTTAAGCAAAATCTCTCTTTATTGTAAGAGCACAGAGAGCTGTTTTAGGCTGAAACTGAATGTTTTCATTAGCACCGAGCAGCCCACTGCTGAAACACCGGTGGCACTAAGGTCAGCGATGAGCTCCCTGATGGAAGTGCTACAGCAGATCAAGCGTCTGCAGAAATCAGATCATGTTCGTGCAGGCCTAAGGTGAGAGAGAAACCAATTTAGAAGTATTTCAGTAATGCAACATCAGAGCAAAGTTGTGTGCTGCTGAACAGCCATCTCAATAACAAGTCATGCTCAGGGTGGGGTAAGCGTGCGAGTGGGGATGAGAAAGAATAGGTCTTTGTCAGTGATCATGCCAGGGCTCCAGATCAAACCATTCTTCAGCCTCAAAGGGGATTCAGCATCCAAACTTCGATGCAAACCTGAATCTCATTGCTACTCCTCTCAGCATACTGAGCTAAATCAAATTCCCATGCGCGAGACTGAAACACGAATCCCAATTGCATCGCCTGGCCCCATCTCTAATTTTCAATATTATCAGTAATAAGATTTCCAAGGAAAAGTGAAGGGGCATCATACGTCTGTCACCCTGTACATAAAACATGCTGGACCAAATTCTTGCATTTACATTTCACTATCAAAGCCTACAGAGAAATGTTTATTTAAGCAGTAGGGGCTCCGTGCCTATGTCTCCCTGTAGATATGCATGTTGTCTCGATGCCAGAAATAAAGTCTTAGGGTTACTGAGGCAGAGGAAGCTATTGAGCTCAAGAGAAATTGGAAGATAGAATCCCAGTGTTTTTACTGGGATTTCTTTCATACTAATGAAGGCTTTTGCATTAATGGTTTTTCATACAAAGGGGTGACCAGGCAGATACACAAGTGTGCATGCATGTATGTAAGCGATGAGAGGAGCAGAGATAAAAGTGAATAGCTTTACACTAAAATTAAACCAGGCTTCTCCATAAAACAGATGTTATGGTTCTCTTAAAAGAAAAAAAAAATAATAATAAAATTAAATTAACGGTGAACAGAATGTTCAGAAGGAATTTGGGGCTGAGATTTTGGCATTAGTAATTCCCTATACTTAATCCATAAAAGTTTTCCTTTATGTTTACAGAAGGGGGTTAAAAAAAGAAGCAAGGCTGTTACTAAAGGATTTTAAGATACAGTGGAGATGTGAAAGGCACAGAAGATTTTCATTTCCTGTGTTATAGGGTGCAAATAATATCAGTATGAAAAACCTGGCAGGAAGATTTAAGATAGCAGTTTTTACATTGATAAGTATTTGTTCATTTCCTGACAACAAAAAATATAAATCTCTTCAGAAATTAAATACCCTGGCTTGTTGAAGCACTTTTGTGACGTTCTGTGGTAGACTGGCTTCCTTTCATTGGAAATCCACAGCTAGAATAATAATCACAGCATCAGTTATTATACTTGTATCAGTTCTGTGCGGCAAGAGGCTAATACAGTGTATGGCCGAATTCTCCTACTTTTGTGTCACTTATTTTCTCTGTGGGCCAGATTTGCATTTTAATGGAAGTAGTTTATAGACTTCTTTGCTGCCTTCATAGTGCCACAAGTGGCATCATTAAGTGAGTTAAGCCGGATTAATGCTGATAGTAAAGTCAGATAATACAATAACAGAGGCCTTCATTTCCATTTGGATTAGGTGAAGAGAGCAGGCCTGTCTGGTGCAGGGTGATAATTTGTAAGCGCGATATGTTGTACTTGAGAGGATAAGATTAAATTTAGTGGGTTTAACTGTCATCCCAGTAAGTCAATTACTTCATCTTTTCAGGCTTTGAATTTCTTTTATAAATAAAATAAATGGAATATTGAGCTGCTCCACAGCCATTTCGAGCTTCCATGAAGAAGAATTACACATGCTGGGCCAAAAAAAAAAAAAAAAAAAAAAGAGAGGGAGAGGGGAGGGGAAAAAGGCTTTCTGATTCAGCTCCATAAACAAAATACAAACCGCATTCAAGTGCCGCATGGCAACAGCTCAGGAATATTGTCCATCTCTCATATCACAAGCATGACAGATTCCATTGTGACTTTAGTTTATCCATAATAGGAAATATTTATGTTGTGCCTAGCCTTTTCTATTTGTATCTAGTAGATTGTAGAAGGAATACACTAAAATACTGATCCCTGCTATCATTTAACTCTTTTACGTTTTCTCCTCGACTTGCTATCTCCTGTATATTTAATGCTTACACATTGCTGCTGAGAGAGTCTCAAATGGAAATAAATAAAGGAGATCTGTTTGATTTGGATCCGTATCAGATAAAACCGGTTTTAATTCTCCTGTCATCTCTCCCCGCCTCCACCCCATTTGGACACAAATCCCTACACCGCTGTTTCTTGAGCATGGAGAGTTTGACAACAAGGTTTCTGTAAATTAGATAGAGATAGATAAGCACCAACATCTTCATTTCTAGCCACAGACCCAGCGTGAATACAGGTAATGTCAAGGGATGGTAGGCATGTCAACAAGGGAGTGCTTATCCATAGCAGGAGGTGATTTCAGAAGCCCCCAAACTCGAGATCCTTTCATAACTTCATTTATGAGTACTTAGCTCTCTCCTGTGGTTCCTGCTGTGGGTCATTATCACATACAGGGTGAAAGAAACCTCTGCTATTCTCTCTAAAGCTCTTGTTAAATCTTCACATAACAATGAACTGAAGTCAAGGCCTGGTGTAGCAAGGTGCTAGGCACACTCATCTCCCACTGAAGTTGAGAAAGATCTGGCATTAATCTCCAGGGAGGAGGAAGGACATAGCTAAAGGCTAAGGCTCTTCATTCCCATAAGAATGTTGGGTAGCATGTAGCATTAGCTAATTCAGGCAAATGAGCATCCTAAGACCCTGGCATTAATGGACACTTCAGAGATGTTCAGCAAGCTGCAGGACTAAATCTACTGTATGAACCCACATACCTCAACAAGGCAGAGCACCCGGAGAGCCAACCAAGAGTGATAGACAGTTTTAGAGAGGTCTGCCTAGGATGTGTCACTACAGAGTGAAAGACTGCCTTCTGGGTCAATGTGGAAAGGAGAACCATATATTTTGACACTTATTCTGTGTCAAGGAACAAGACATTTTCCACACAATTAAGCTGACACAAATCATCAGTATATGACTATTTGCAATGAGCATTTATTTGCTTCTCCTTTATACAGATACGTATCACATACAGCTCCCCAGAAGTCAGGGGAATCAGTCAATATCAAACCTGCAAGGCAAAGAACTGGATCATTTCATAATACAAAGCTATACAAAATAAAATGGGATCTATCAAATTACAAAATCTATATCTCAAGTGGAAGGCACTGTTTAATATA